AAAGGGCTTCGTTGCAAGACATCCTGCCCTTTAGGGGCTTGAGGAAGCAGCTGTCTAGACCTGCCCGGCAAAGTGGGGCTCCAGGCCTCGTGGGCACGTAGCAGGTTTCCTCCAACAAATCCCCTAGACCGGACCCCAGATGGAGAGAGACCAGAGGAATGAGAGTATCTCCTCTCTGCCGTTTTCTCCCCCTTGCAATCTGCTCAACATCCACGACTGATTTCCCACGCTGGAAACCTCCCCCTGAGATGCCCAGCCTGGATGGGATTTTGCTCCATTTTGCTTTAGACCCAGAGGGCAGCTGTGGCTTTCCCACGCAGCGCATGACTCTATTATTCAATTCTTGAAGGCAGGGAAGCAGCGAAGGCCGAACAATGCTGCTCTCCCGTTGATCCCTACTTTCACTCCTGATAGACACCAAGGCAATTAGCCCAGCTCATTATTTACCACTATCAAGACTTGTTGACAGTGGATTGCAGAGCCAATGGCCCCCGCACTGGCTGTTTTCTAATGTGATTTGCCATCTCTGCTTCCAGTTAATGCACAGTGTAAATTATGAGGCGAGTGTTGGTTGGAGGGCATAATAGAGTGCTCTCAGCGCCATTACGGCCAAAAGAGATGGACTTCTAAGCTGATGCATTAAAACAAATGGCTCCTCTTCCCCGGTCACTTCTGGAAATGCATACCAGACTATTAGACCCCCATCATTCATTAGGATCTGAGTGCCACATGGGGTTACCGTCAGTGCAAAGCAAAGCTACAGCTCCTGCAGGGGTAGGAAGGGAGTCCCTGGGGACCCCAAGGGACTCTTGTTGCTTGGGGAGTGGTAGGAAGGGCCCAGGATGGGTGTAGAAAGGCTCCTGCAGATCAGCTTCTGCAGGGCTACATACTCTTGAGAGGAAATAGCCCCATTTTGCAGGTGGGGAAACGGAGGCACAGGGAGGCAGCACAACCAAGGACACCCATTGGCTCAGTGGCAGAGCCAGCACTAGATCAGAGGTTGCTGAGATCATTGCCCTACCCATTAGAGCATGCTGCCTCCCTATATGAGAAGCTGACAGCTTTGCATTGAGCAGGTCACCTATATCTAGCTGACCGGGGTGGTGCGGGGAGTCTCATGCTGTTCAACCCTCAGCACACACCGAGCCATGCCTGGCTGCACACCAGGCTCGCCTGCTCGGGGAGCTCCATGCACTGCACCGAATGGCTTATACTCACACCAGCCCCCACCCCAGTGCTCCCAAACTACAGGGGAGGGGCCTGACCTGGCTTGGTGTTTGCACTGAGTTGCTCAGTCCCCAGCAGCAACCGTGCAGGGTTTCTCATCTGCTCCCACACACCACCGCCACCCTCGCAGCGCCCAGGGAAGCCGAGCCCAGCACCCTTCACGGGTTTCGGGGCTGACCTGGTTTTCAGTCCCTGAGCCCAGACAAGGCTAGCAGGCACCTTGCCTCTGAGATCAACCGGCCTCTCTGCCCAGCCTGCGAAGGACAGGCAGACAGCTGGGTCCCTACAAGCTCAGCTCGGTGGTCAAGGCAGGCTGGGGTAGCTCATGCACACAACCTCCCTAACCCCCTTGCAGCTCTCCAGCAGCTGGGCTCGTTCACCTCAATAAGCACCATCTGACCCAGCCCAGCCACCTGGGCCACATCATTCAAAAAGGGCAGCTTGGCCCCAGACTTCAAAGCCTTTGGTCACCTTTTATAGGGCCCTTTTCCTCCAGGGGATGGGAGACAAAAGCACCCCCACGTGAACCCTTTGTGTGCCCAGCCCTTTCCCGTTTGCTCTCAGCTGGAGCTTGCACTTCTGCGGCGTTGCAAAAGGACAGTGCTTATACAGGTTGCATGCAAGAGAGCTTCTACAACCTTTGCAATCTCCTATGCCTGATGAAGGGTGCCTGTGCCCAAAGCTTGCCATTTTTTTTGCAAATATCTATTTGGTCTAATAAAACATATCACCTCTGCCATGAGTTTGATTCCTATATGTTGCCTCATGCATGTGAATACAGTTAGAAGTTTTCCTCTGGGATGCCTTATGCCTTGCTGTCTGTTGCCCCCATCGCCCCTGCAGATTTACTGGGCTCTGGCTTGCTTTAAATCATGTTATTTAAAACACACCAGCCTGAAACAGCTCAGACTGAAACCCCACTAGGAGCACAGCAAAATGATCCCCAGTTGCCATCAATGCTACATAAAAACATGGACATGGACTGGATCAGACCCTGGGTCCATCTTGCTCAGTCTCCTGCATCACTGCCCTCGCCTACATTGCCCAGGTCTTGCACGAGGACAATCCCTGCCCCTCCAGTATCCTCCAGACCCCCCAGATTTTGGCAGGCCCCACAATTGTCCCCATCCCACCATCTTAGCAAGCAGGGGGATACCAAGCTGATCCACTTCTGAACCACCCATTGCTGCCTGTGGTCCGCACCCTCCACCATCCCGTCCTCGTGTCCCGCCTGCATACCCTCGGCAAGGATGGGAGTCCAGCCTTCAATGCCACAGTGGGTGAAAAGACCTGCCTTGAGTCCATTTTAAACTTCCCACCTACTAGTTTTATGTTGTGACCCCTTGTTCTTGGTCTGGTGAGAAAGTCTATAATAAATCCCTATTGACTCTTCACTGTTTTGTAAACTTCCCTTTTAATGTTGACGGGCACCCAACTTCCTCTCTGATTACTCATTATATATTGCCCCCTGACTGGGCATTTTGAAGCCTTTTTGGCAAAATTTGGCAGGCTCCTATTCCTGAACCTCAGGGTGCAGGGACTCCGACCGATGAAGGGCACGAAAGCTCGGGGCTCGTTAGCCGCTCCAGTAATATAATCGGAAGGTGACTTTTGGTGAAATTAAAAAGGCAGGGACATATTTTGAACCAAGCAATTAATAAGCAGCAGACAATCGTGTTTTATGCAGCATGTAATGCAGACAACCTGTGGAGCTCCTCGCTGCCAGGGGTCATTGCGGCTATTTGTGCTGGCTGGCTTACAAGAAACGATGTGTAAATTTAATGCCCGCTCCGAGGCAATGCAAGCTCTGATGACAAGTGTCATTTAGGCTCGAGCTTCAGGGCATAAACTGGAGGGGTGGCGCGGAGGAGGTGACACACTGAGAGAGCAGGGCCACCTCCAGCTCCTGTGGAGGGCAAGAGGCCGCTCAAAGAGAGACGCAGTGATAGAGCAGAGAGGCCTGGGGGTGAGCGCGTTGAGCGTGAGAAGAGCTCGGGGCTCTTGAAGCTGTGACTGCGACCCTGTGAACACCACTAGTGTTGCCTTTCTGGGTCCTGTGCACATGAATTCTTCTTGCTAGTCGTCCTGCTTGTACTCTCACCCCAGGCACAGACGCCGGTTTTGCTACAGCCGTGTTTATGACCTCCTGTGAGTCAAGCGTTTGAGCAGCTGCTAACAGAAGGTTTGATGGGGATCATTTGCTTGAACAGAGATTTCTTCTCTTGGACCATGCCGTTATCCTGCGGCCGTTTCTGCAAAATCCCTAATGGGTTTACACTCCCCCGGTTCTGCGGGGTGGGGCAGTGCTTCTCTCTCTCTCTCGTGCACATGGGGGCTGGGGCAGAGAGCTGGTTGCATGACTCGTCTTTGGAAGGAGCAAAGGAAGTCCCTGATTTAACAAGCAGCAGGAGCCAGGTGTTTTGGGTCCTGCTCCAGCACCCTAGCCATCCTTCTAGACCTGAAATGCGGGAGGGTGCAAGTGGGAGAGGAACAGCGAGGAAAACCCTGATCGGAGCCACTCAGCATCCTGTTCAGCTCTCTGACCCTGTGGGTGCAGCTACATGTGTGCATTTACTGCGCAGTAACCAAAATCACTGCGCAGTACAGGCACATGTCTACACGTGCATGCCCATACTGCACAATAAATATGGTGACTTATGCCGACTTGAGTGTAAATTTGATACCCGCATCATGCAGGTATCAAATTTACACCCAATTATTTACTGCACAGTAATGCATGTGTGGACTCCTTGCCGTGCAGTAACACTGTGAGTGTGGACTGACCTGGGACTAATTTTAGTCCCAAGTCAGTGCACACACAGTGTTAATGCGCTTTAATATCTGCACGTGTGGAGGCCTGCCTATTCCACTTACTGTGCGGTAACTTACTGCGCAGTAAATTTAAGCCAGCATAAATGCACATGTAGACATGCCCTGTGTGACACAGGAGGCCGGGCAAGAAGGACCTAGGGTGTGACCCAGGCAATGGCTATTCATAGTCTTATGTCTGGATCCCATGTCCAGTATTAGAGAAACAATGAACCATTCTCATTGCTCAATCCACCCCCAAATCCTAGAGCTCCAGCTGTGGAAGTGGCCAGGCCAACTAGATAGCTCCCAGGAAGAGCTGAGGGAGCACAGCTGGATGGAGCCATAGGAGATGAGTGGGTGTTTGCGGTGGGGGGGAAAGGCCTCCGAGCCCCTGCAGCCTGCTCTAGCCAGGGGAGCAATGACGTGGCCCTGGAGAAGTGAGCTGTTGGGTTGTCTGTGGGTCCCTTGTGTGGACGGTGGAGCTGGCCCAGCTCACAGGGTGTCAACACAAGTCACCACCCCTTTGGGGTCCACGGGGCTGACACTGAAATCCAGAGCATCTGCACAGAGCAAAAGACCCCAAACCACCCCCCGGTTTGGCCCTTGTTGCAAACCCGGCAAGCCTGCCTGCACCTTCTAAACCGTGCTAAGTGCTTCAGAGGAGACAGACAGTCCCTCCTCCCTATGCAGCACCTTGGCATTGCCCTGCACATTACAACCCTGGGGCTCTTCCCAGCAGTGCCCTGCTTCCCCCGTGCCAGGCAAAGGAAGCCATGCCAGCTTGAAGCTACTGAGCCATTCATCAGCCTTCACTTCACAGAGGTGCAATATAGGTGCAAGCAGCTATAAGAGGCCAAATTTTGCAGCTGAGCCAAAATGAGACCCTCCCCCCACCCCCCATGGACAGATCCAGATTGACCCAAAGTAGGATGTCTGGAGCAAGTTTGCATTGCACAGGAAAATCTGCTCCGGGCAAGTATGAAAGGCCAGGGCCATTTGTGTGTTGTGTCCCCTTGTAGTTTGCAGTTCGGTGCTTCCTCCTTGCTGTTCTCACGGCAGAGTCGGGGAAGGGCCTGGGTTTGAAACACCTGCATGGAAGCCAGGAGCATCCTCAAGGCACCAGAGCTGGGCCTCAGTGCTCATGTGTCTTCATGGTATCCTCATAGGAAGGAGGGGACCCAGGTCCCGTGGTGTGGAAAGGGGGCAGGGGAGCAGAGCACGGTTCTGGATGTGCAGGGTGGGCACAAGCTTCCGACCAGGGGCACCGAGACATCGTGCTGGCTGGGGAAGAGAAGAGACAGCCAGTCTTGGTAACATTATACCCTCCTGACTTGGGAAGAAGAAAGGGGTGTGCGTGTGGATGTGGTGGGATGCTGTCTGCGTGCATGTGGGAATGTGCAAGTGTGCGTGCATGTGTGTCTGTGAGGGAGTGGACGTGTAATTTACACTGATTTATGAGACTGAAATAGCAAATGTGTTCACACAGCTGCTGCAGCTCAGGGCCGGCACATCAGGCCCCCAAAACTGGGGAAGCCCTGACCTCAAGCAGCCAAAATGATGGGATCTGATGTGCTTTCAAGGCACCAGAGAGAGTGCCTCACTCAAAACAGTCCTGTTCCCATGCAAGCAAGTGCAATTCCCCCCGGTCAATGAAGATCTCTCATCAAAGAGAAACCTGCCCCTATCCCTGTCCTTTGAGGAGCTCCCAGCCAGCAGTCGATGTGACCCACTGAGGTTAAAGGAGAGATTCCCTTCGACTTCTCTAGGGGCCGTATCACATCCTCATCACCCAACCCTGCACGGGTTTGGATGCTTCTTGGGGGCAGATGAGACACAAAGGGATTTGAACGTAGCATCACTTGATCTACTAACCCCATGACAGCGCCCCAGTGATGGCTTTGATCCCACCGAATCCAATAGGACCCTCCCCGCAAGGGCCAAATGGGTCTTAAAGTATTCACAATAAGGGGCACCAAAACGACAGAGATGGAAACCAACCACAAAAAGTGTCGGCATCACTGAGGGCAAACACAGCCAGGGCGCGCCGGGAAGGCAGCCGGCTCCGCTGCTCGAGCCAGCACTGCAGGCAGAGGAGGATCCCGCAGGACAGGATCAGGGCCAGGACAAACAGCATCAGGAACCTGGTGCAGAAGATATGGAGGAGTGGGGGATGTCTCTATTCTGCCTATTGAGAGTCTAAGTGGATGTAGGGTGTGTGGTTTTTATCCTGCCTTGACTGCTATAACAACTCTGTCATCTGCCCCTTAAGCTGAAGACACAAAGCAGCATCAAGGAAAGGTCAGACCCACCCGCCTTTTGCATTAACTGGGTCTGACTCTTCCTTGGCTAGCTCTGGGAAGATCAGGGCCGCTCCGTTTTTTTTAAGTGTGGGTGAACTTTCTTTTTCCCCATTTTTCTGCATTTTAGGTTGCATGGAGAGATCTCAGCCCTCCAAAAACAACAGCCTGCCAGGGGCCAGGCCCTGAGTCTTGTGCGGGTGGAGGGGAAGAAAACCTGAAAAGTTTGACATTAGTTTTTTGCCCATGAAAAATGTTCATCTATCAGCTTGACTGTCTGCAACTAGTGAGGGGGGATAGAAAGAAATGATTCCCATTCGTCAGTAAAGACAGAACACAAAATCATGGGCTCCAAGCGGGGAAAATTTGGGTGAAATACTAAGAGAAATGCTCTCTCCCCATTCCTTCCTGTCTCTTGCACTGTCTCAGCATAGGCTGTTTTGCCAGCTCTTTCTTCGGAGAGGAGTCCGAGTCCGTACTTACCAGACATACCAGGTGCTGAGGTTTTCCTCGTGGTGACCGACACACCTGAGTGTTAAGAAAAAATATTAGAGAGTCAGCATGAGGGGATTTTATGGAGTCCAGTCCTATGATCTGTGAAGGCAATGGAAAGTGGTCCTAATGTCAGTGGTGGATGGAGTCATCCCGTTAAGGAAGCACTATTAGTAACCTAACTTTTCTTGTGACTAGATGCAAGTGGTACAGCACTGTTTCCCTGTAATTATACGGAGATATGTCACCTGTGAGACTTGTGTGCTTGCTATCCCTGCTTTATGGCTCAGAAATGTGGACTGCATATGCTAGACATCAAGAGACCGATCAGCTACCATATGACATGTCTGGGTAATATCCTGAACATAAAGTGGGAAGACAGATACCGAACAGAGGTGCTGGAGAGCACAGGACTGACGCACTTCGAAACAACCATCAGGAAAAGGAGGTTGGGATGGGTGGGCTATGCTAAGAAATTGGGAGGAGACCATATCCCCAAGAATATTTTGTAGGGGAGATTCAAGATGGCTCTAGAAAGAGGGGTTGGCCTCTATGGGCGTACCCCGATGTGTGCAAAATGTTCACAGGTCCTCGGTAGTCTAGTGGTTAGGATTTAGCACATGCACTGCCGCAGCCGGGTTCAACTCCCAGTCAAGGAAAAGCACTTTCAATTGCTCCAGTGGCGCAATCGGTTAGCGCACGGTACTTATACAGCAGTACTTGGGTGAGCCATGCCGAGGTTGTGAGTTCAATCCTCACCTGGAGCAAAAATTTTATGGGGCATGGTTTTCCAGCCAGTGTTTTTGAAGATTGGAGGTGCGCTGAGTGACAGTGATTGCAATTTGATTAGATTTGCCATCCACTTCAGATGGGCGGACTTTGGAAAACTCAGGAGTTTGGTTGGAAACCAGCGATGGATGATTCGGGAGCTCATGAAAGATGGCACTTCCTTAAGGAGGCTCAAAAAGAAGCCATCCCCACGCGCTCAAAATGAGGGAATGGAGCCAAGAGACCCGCCTGGCTCCACAGGAAAATTAGGGAACGTCTCAAAAAGAAGCGTACATGCGATGGAAAAACGGTTTAGCATCCAGAGAAGAGTACACTCCTGGGGCTAGGGTCTGCAGACATGAGACAAGGGAAGCCAAGGCATGCATGGAAATCAAGCCGCCGACTGGAACGAAGGACAACAAAAAATATTTCTACAGGTACATAGGGAGCAAGAAAGAAATCAAGCCCCACTGTGGCACCCTACTGAAGCCCACAGTTGACCCCGTGAAAAGGCAGAGCTCCTTAGTACTTACTTCACATCAGTATTCCTGAAACCAGGTGAGAACGCGTCACTTGTCCAGAGGCACCGAGAGTACGGTGATGACAGCAGACCCCATAAAAATCAGTCCTGAACAGGTGAAGATACTCTTAGATCATATGAACATTTACAAGTCGGCTGGGCCAGAAGATCTGCATCCAAGAGTGCTGAAAGAGCTGGCCGAGCTCATAGCGGGGCCTCTGGCGAGGCTGTTCAGAGTCATGGATCTCAGGAGTGGTCCTGAACAACTGGAAGACGTGAACGTGGTTCCCATCTTTAAGAAAGGAAAAGAGGGATGACACTGCTAATTATAGACCGGTTAGTCTGACTTCGGTCCTGGGAAAAATCTTTGAAAAATTTGTCAAGGAAGTCATCCACCACAAGCTCGCAGCTGGCGGGGTGCTGAGTAACATCCAGCATGGCTTTGCCGAGGGGAGGTCATGCCTAACAAACCCGGTGCCCTTTTAAGACCAGGTAACTCACCAGCTGGACATGGGACAGGAGGTGGATGTCATCTACCTAGATTTCAGCAAGGCCTTTGATACTGTTTCCCATGAAATCCTCTCAACTAAGTTGGAGAGGACTGGCCTAGACCAGGCTACAGTGAGGTGGGTGGGCAACTGGTTCAGCGGCTGATCCCAGCAAGTTATAATTGATGAGGTGGCCTCATCCTGGAGGGCCATCTCCAGTGGTGTCCCCCAGGGCCCGTGCTCTTTAACATCTTTATCAATGGACGAGGGAATGAAAAGTACAATGATTAAGTCTGCAGATGACACCAAGCTGTGGGGACAAGTAGGCATGTCCGAGGACAGGCAAAGATCCAGGACGACCTTGACAGGTTCTATGGGCCGAATGCAATTAGATGAGGTTCAACAGGGTCCTACATCTGGCTAGGAAAAACCCTCACCATATCTACATGATGGGTGGTGGTCCACTGCCTGGCACTGCATCCGAAAGGGACCTGGGGGTGACAATTGCCCAGAGGAATACGAGCCAAAAGTGGGATAAAGTTGCCAACAGAGCAAATAGGACTCTGGCGTGCATCAGCTGATGCGTCGCCAGTAGATCCAGGGAGTTGCTCTCTCCCCTTTATTCGGCGTTGATGAGGCCAGAGCTGGAGTACTGTGTCCAGGTCTGGGCAGTACAGGTCAAGAAGGATGTGGACAAGTTCAGCATGGTGCAGAGAAGGGCCACCCTCATGATCAAGGGCCTGGGGGACAGGTCCTGTGAGGAGAGACTTTGGGATCTGGGTTTGTTCAGTAGGAGTAAAAGAAGGCAGAGGGGCGACTCGATAGCCGCCTACAAATATGTCAAGGGAGAACACCGGGATCTAGGACCCCATAAAATTCAGTCCCAAACAGGTGAAATACATGCAACTTTTCAGAAAAGCACCCCGTGGAAGGATGACGTCCAATGGGCACAAGTTAGTCGAGGAAAAGTTTTGGCTGGACGTAAGGAAAAATGTCTTCTCCGTATGGGTAACTCGAATCTGTACCATGCTGCCAGCAGAGGTGGTGCAGTCGCCTTCCCTGGCAGCGTTCAAGAGGAGGATGGGCAAGCGCCTCATTGAGCTCGTTTGAGCCCAAGGACCTCCTGCCCATGGCAGGGGACAGGACTTGGTGATCTTACAGGTCCCTTCTGGTCCTTTGATTCTATGATTTTATGATATAAGTTGTTCAACATCAATGTAGAAAGCTGGGAGGAGGGCGCAGAAGCCTGTCCGGTCTGGAGGGAACATCTGGCACTGGGTGCAGGTCGGCGTGGCGTGGCTTTGAACCAGAGGATGGAAGCAAAGTGAGAGAGAAGAAATCGGCGTGCTAGAAACTTGCACTCCAACTCAGACCCCACCTGGATCTGTGACACTTGTTGCAAGCCACGCCGTTCTCAAATTGGCCTCGTCAGCCACAGCCAGGTCCATCAGCCATCCGACTAGATGTCTTATGTGAACACCATGACCATTGCACACTCTATGAAACTCATAGTTATTCTTGCAACATGTGTAAAACAGCAAAATTATACATGAACCTGACAGCAGACCTTTGCTGTGCTTCCCTCTGTCTCCTGTTAAAGAGAAATTCAAAGAGCCTTTGCTACCCCTCACTATCCTCTTTGCATTAATATCTATGGCATGAAAAACCAAAGAGCCTTTGCTACCCCTCACTATCCTCTTTGCATTAATATCTATGGTTCTCTTAGTTAAAGCATCTAGGGTTTCCTAGTGCACAACTCGGGAAGACAGTGGAGAACAGCACCTGGGCAGACACGGTTCTTTGGGTAGATGTGATATCTTTTTATTAAACCAACTAAATAGTTGGCAAAATAGTTCTTTGCAAACTTTCGGGCACGCACCCTTGCAAAGAACTATTTTTCCAACTATTTGCTTGGTCTAATAAAAGATATTGGATTCACCCAAAGAACCTTGTCCTTAGACCAACACAGCTACAACCTACACCCCTAAAGCATGGAAAAGAGCAGCTACTTACGTTTCATTGAGTTCACATTTAGGGTCGGGGTCCGCCAGCTGAAACACACACACACACACACGATCCCAATCAGGGCAAGCATCATAGCAATATAAGCTTTTTTTTTCTATTTGAAGGGTGACGCTCGTATGAACATGGAAAGGGCCCGATCCTGGGACTGTAGGCTGTCCCGTTGAAATCACGTCCTTGACTAAACACTAATTGCACCCGTAGAGGTTGTAGGACAGTGAATATCTGGCATAGGAATTACTGTGGAGAGGCTCGGTGT